TTATATATATATATATATATATATTATATATATATATATATATATAACATTCTTCACTACCAGGCCTATCCCACCGAGGCGGGGTGGCCCAAAAGGAAAAACGAAAGTTTCTCCTTTCAAATTTAGTAATATATACAGGAGAAGGGTTACTAGCCCCTTGCCCCGGCATTTTAGTTGCCTCTTACAACACGCATGGCTTACGGAGGAAGAATTCTGTTCCACTTCCCCATGGAGATAAGAGGAAATAAACAAGAATAAGAACTAGAAAGAAAATAGAAGAAAACCCAGAGGGGTGTGTATATATATGCTTGTACATGTATGTGTACTGTGACCTAATATATATTATAATTAATATATATATATATATATATATATATATATATATTATATATATATATATATATATTTATATATATATATTATATATATATATATATATATATATATATATTTTTATAGTGAGGGATATACATTGAGAGACATATATACTTATCGCTGCATATACACAGACACACACACACTTATCTACATATATGCCACGTCGATCAGAAACACCTAAGCACCTTAAAATTAGGAAGTTAGAAATATACACATAATTGCAACAGTTAACTACAGGTAAGAACAATTACAACAATAACAACAATTAACAGTAATAACAACTATTAACAACAACAGTTAACAGTTAGACTCAGCACTCTCATTTTACCTCGTTAACCTTATTCTAACATGTATTATAACCCTAGCAAAACTAACCAAGAAATCTATCTATAAGTTTGCGATGGTCAGTGACTATCTATCGCGAACTTATTGAAACATGTGAGTGACACATATTCCCTCCGTAAACACCTGTCATTTCGTTGAACATGTGAACATAGTGGTGTGTATTTGACAGTGTATACACTCCGATATGTTTTTATTTCTTTGTTTATGTACACCAGGATGTGTGCATCTCTCGAGGTATATATCCCGAGATGTGCTTATCCGTCAGGGTATATACACCCTGATGTATCTAGTAGAATGTATACACTGAAAGGCGCATATCTCTGAAATGTATACACACTGAGTGGTGTCTTTAGTGAATATACAAAGAGAATTGTGTATCTTTCCGTGTATACACATCAAGAATCTTATGTCTCTCAGTGCATATACACCGAGAGGTATCTCTACGTATATACACACCGAGATTCGCGTATCTCTTAGTGTATATACACAAAGAAGTATCTCTCAGCATATATACACCAAACATTAGCTCTAATCCTGGATGAGTGAGTTGCTCCTGGTATTAGTGTATGGAACTGGGGCTATACTGACCTACGTATATTCAAAGAATATCTAAGCTAACTTATCAGTCCCCAAGAGAGCTAACCATGTCATCATTCTGTGAATCAAATCGACACCTGCCTGAACCCTTCTAGCGTAGGTAGGTGCGAGCCAGCTACAGCTCGAAACTTGTCCTTCCCTTAGCTCCCTGGGCGGGTTGGCAACAGAGGAAAGTTGGTCCAAAGTGAGGAGGCATATACCTCCTCCATGGGAGCTTAGGTCTCAGACATCCTAAAGAGGGAGCAAGGCCGGCCACACTTGAAAGGCCGGCCGAGATACGGTATCTTTAATAATAAAATCTGTGAATCAATACAACCTGTGGAAAAGTTATCCCTGGGGAACCCGGGTGTTGAAAATTTCGACACGATATTTCCTTACTACCTGTTGTCCTGTTCACCTAGCAGCAAATGAGGTACCGGTTTGATCGACTGGTTGTGGGTCGTGATCCTGGGGGACGATTAAGGACCCCAATGGAAATAAGTTGCAGTCCTGTTGCGCACTACTTTCTTGGTAACTGGTGTTAAAACCTCTGGGTTAAAATCCGAAGAAATCTATCATTATCTTAGCTTTCGTTTTCCCTCAAATTGAGACCATCTTGATCGGTTATTAGTTCGGGACTGCATGCGTAGCGTCGGCCCCACGATGTTCGATGTATAAAATTTCAAAAACGCAGATAAAGAGTATAGTGAGAGGGGTTGATTGGTTAGTTAATTGGTGAAGCATAGGCACGCTCCCGCACTCACCTCTTAATTTCCCAACAGCGCAGGGCTTTGATGGGTTGCCACCTCGCTACTTCAGGCCACTACTCCACTTATATATAAATACCCCCGAAAAACACGCCGTTTATTAAATCAAGCCTCCCGTCATGGAACTTTTCCTCCTAGTGAATAAATTAAAACCATTAACGCCGTCCCTGTAAATAAAATATATATATTATGTGTATTGGTTTTAAAAACGGGTGACGCTAGGAAATAGTTGCCACCAACTGCCACAACCATTTTTTTAATGTTTTTTTTTCTGGTGCAAAGGTTGTTGGTTGGTTAATGGGGTTTAAAGCCTATCGACTGCACGAGGGTTATTAAGGCTGCACGTAACCTTTTTCACCACCAGTCAAGAGTACTTTAATGCTTAAAATAAAGATTAAATCAAACTCTCAGTGTACATAGGCTGAGAGAAATCCCCTTCTCACTACTATATATATAATATAGGGAGGTACCACTTCTAGAAAAAAAAAAAAAACTCTAGAACTGTCCTGGGGACCCTCATCCTCAGAGAAAAGAATAAACTTGCTTCAGGGAAAACTCAAGGTTCTCCCTGAAGCTGTTTGAGAATTTTCTCCTACCACCCATATATTATAATATATATATATATATATATTATATATATATATATATATAATATTATATATATAATATATATATATAATATATATACGGTGAAAGAGAGCCACCTCTGAGTGTATATATCCTGGTGGTGCTAAAGAGCGATTAAGAGTCATTGGTATTCTGTGAGGCAGAAATTAATGGGACTATCAAGGCTAATGTTAATATGTTAATATTTTTACCCCCATGCACGGCAGTCCTCCGTCGTTAAATATTCATATAATCCAAGTAATTAGCATAAATAGCACGTCGTGAGTCATGGTAAAGCTCATTTTAGCGAGTACCTTGAAAAGGTCCTCCTCCCCCTCCACCTCCTCGACAGTTCAAGGTCCAACTTTTCGACGATTTAAAAGGTCTTCTTTAACAGTTTAAGGTCCTCTTTTTCTCTGGCTTAAAAGGTCTTATTATTCTTCTTCTTCAGCCGTCTCCTCATTATTGGACTCAAGAAGCCTACTGTGTAGACGATACGTTTCGGAATGAAGACACCTGAGTGTTGTACGTGTCTTACTTATTCGTCGGTAAACTGTACTTATTATATATTTTCAACAACTCAACTGCTGAAGAACTGACATTTTTTTTTCCGCTAAAATATTTTTCTAGATTGTTTAGATGTCCAGTGAGGAGGGAAGTAGGGTAGGAGGGAGGGAAGGAGGGAGGGAAGTAGGGTAGGGGTAGGGAAGTAGGGCAGGAGGGAGGGAAGAAGGGCAGGAGGGAGGGAAGTAGGGCAGGAGGGAGGGAAGTAGGGCAGGAGGGAAGGAGGGAAGGAGGGAAGTAAGGCAGGAGGAAGGGAAGGACAGAGGGAAGGAGGAAGGGAGGGAGCACCCACCTCCCTCCACTAATCACAA